AAGTTTACATAATAGATATTGGTAAAATCCCTTTTCAAATACATTCTAATCTAAAAATAATGATAGGACGTAATAAATACCTACAGCCAATTATCACCTACTATGCACTATCCAGATGTAATAAGTAATAAATTATGTAGGTAGTACCCGAAAATAACAAAATCACGGTAAAACAATTCGGCTATCATTATTTCATTTCGTTCAGTCGGGCTAGAAGTGTGATTTATTCAGAAAAGTGGTCAATATTTGACCGATCAATCAGCGTTGCGTGGAGCTAACCGCCACGTCAAATGATTTATTCAAACGCCACACTGAGTCAAGGTCCGCAAAAACATGGGAATATTGCTGTTATTACGAACTTCGTTGATAACTAGTAAATCACAGAGTTGTTTAATGATATGTTGTATTGAAACTATTAGATTAATTGCGGTTCTACTTCTAGTACACAGTTATGGTAAAATAAAATACCTAACTACAAAAGAAAGTAAAAGTTATTACATGTATACTTCTTAAAAGTGTCATCGACGAAATAGCTCTAATTTAGTTAAATAAATTGTCAAAAATCATCGAATAATAAAAAATAAACCTAATAGTAATGTGTATTTGACAAATCGTTAAAAAAGTATTTTTTCATTTAATTGGTTGTCCAAATGAAAACATTTTATAAAGCATAAATAAGTAAAGTTTAAGTCGACATCTCTCGACAATGACCCCATAGAAAAATTAAAATCGATCACTCCTTCTAACAAACTCCCACGGGAGCAAAGGGAGTGTACAAACGTATTAAGTAGTCCAGCACTCAGGAATAATGTGGCTTTCAATAGATTTTCTATAGGACATAAGTGATTCCATGGAAAACCTATGGGGGTAACGGTAACCATTACTTTAAATAACATGCCTACAGTAGGCGTGCCGTTCAGCCTTTAATGGATTTTATTATTTATCAGTCTTCTTCACTTTAACTTGTCCGACAATTTTATAAGTAGACCTTTTGTATGCACGCTTATTGAATTTTAATTCTACATAATTATAAGTTGCTCGTGTAATTTTCATGTCGAAATATTTTTTCATTTCTAAAAAGCTGTATGTGGCTCACCTATTTATAGTGCAGTAAATTACAAAAGGCGAGATAATCGCCCATTAACTAGATTATACAGTTATCTGATGAATTTTAAACCTGTAGTTAAAAAAAAATAAAGAGCCTTATTACAAAAAGTTAGACACACATTGAACACTTGTTTAGGTGACATTTAGTATGGAAATTTTAAACATGTTCAATGTGTGTAGAACTTTTTTGAAATGAGGCCAAAAAAGTTGCCTGAAATCTTCTTACTAATTGTAAGATTAACAACTAATTATTTAAAAAAATAAATGAAGAGATATTATAAGTGATCTGACCTGTATTTTTGTATGTCTAATAGATAGTTACACTATTATATTCCGTTTACTAATTTAGGTATAACACGGTAAAACTAGAGAAGACGGTAGAAAAAATACCTACCATAAAAGTATAGAGAAATAGAAACGTATAATGATAAAGTCTCTTTAAACTTCAACGAGATCGAATCAGAAATGAGGAGATCCGTAAACAAACTAAAGTCGCTGACATACCCCGACGGATTAGCAAGCTGATGTGGCAATGGGCAGGGCACATAGTACGCATAACTGACGGCCGATGGGACAGCAAGGTTCTGGAGTGGAGCCCGCGTAGCGGAAAACGCAGCGTGGGACGTCCACCCACAAGGTGGACCGACGACATCATAAAGGCAGCAGGAAGGCGCTGGACGCAGGCTGCTACCAACCGGGCAGCATGGAAAGCATTGGGGGGGCCTATGTTAAGCCGTGGACGACCTATAGCTGAGATGATGATGATGATGATGATGAATAATAAAGTCATCTCGAATTGATTATAAATTTTTGTGTAAGTCAATAGACACACGCTGCACTTGCCCTTTAAAAGGACACCTCTCATTACAAATCCACCTGTACAAGCATTAAATATTTACACGACATTGGTATTTATAAATGCTTTTACCGGTTAGGATTTGCACCAGTTGATTCAAAGAACATAAATATTGATAGTCAAATTAATATCATCGCATGCAGATCGCGAGGCCTCTAAGTCAAAGTCAAAGTCNATTGTAATTGCATAGGTCAACAAGTTTGGAAGTGGCCAGTACATGTTCATTGATTTGTTTCTGTGCAATTTCATATCGAGATTTGAACTGTTTAAGATAAAGTTCCAAGTCATCTATTTTCTCATGTAAGATTAAAGTATTATCATCGTACAACTTTTTGTTTTGTTCTATTTTTAAGTTGTATGATTTAAGCTTTTCTTTTAAAAGATTTTTTTCTTTCATTAGAATTGACTGTTTAGGTAAACTACGTTGAAATTTAATTAATTTTTTGCATTTTTTGATAAATTTCTTGATTTTAATATATTTTTTAAGTTTATTATTACTATCAGGAGTTTCGAACTCGTAATAGAAAGATTAGGTTCCAAGCTCCAACTGTGCAAGGGTTGCCACTGAAAATAAAACACCTTTCTATTTCTCAAAATTATACAAATTGTCCACAGCATATTAAACTAAACACTGTGGCATATGTACCAAGCTGAAATAGGACCTATTTTGCAATTAAACGTAAAGTCGGATATGGTCCAGGGTTCAGCAGTTTATGGCTCATTTTGAGTAACCTAACAGGCTTTTTCTTCACTTTACACAACATTATCAGGAACCTCCACAAACCTAAAAAAATCTAATATTCCCCTATTTGAATATTCAGATTACAACTAGACTTGCTACTTTGCGAACTGGAGTGGAGTTCTTATTGTTGGAAGCCAAGACTGACTTTGGGTCACTGCAACGTCATATTTTTAATATGATGGCAACCCTGTATGAACAGATAAGATAGACGGATTAATTCTCCCGGTCTTCTATCTGAGTAACGTGGATCGCGCCTAGATAGCTAATCAGGACACCGCCGGTTAATTAACTAACGGATCGCAAACGACACTGTTTGCACACCAGTTAGCTAGCTATGATTCGCTTTTAAATGATAGGCTCTACTCGTATGACTAGCACTTAATATAAGATTAAGACAGGAAATTGGCAATCTAGGAAACAAAGCACCGGTAATGTACATTTCTGAACGCAAAGCTTTCTAAGTTTTCGGTAATTTTACTTCATTAGTAAAGATGAACAGATTTGAATCCCATGCTAAGTTACATATTATTACATACGAAAGGAACACTCTGAAATACCTACGCTTTCCACGAAAGCACGTAAACGTCTCCGACATTATTATTAATTAAGTAGGTACTTATGTAATCAATTTAGTTATCGATTCCCAAGATTTATTGATGCATAATAATATTAGTTATAGTGTCTTTTTTTTCTATCACCTTTCAACACACTGACAGCCAAGCTGATCCTTAATTAAAGAAAATTTCTGCCAATGCCCTTTTCGTATTTATTAATGTCGGCACATTTAATGCTTACAAAAACAAAGCGTTTTATGTGGTACCAGTACAAATCCTACATTAATTGCTTTTAACATTCCCGTTTTTACACGCAACTGGTTCATAGTTTAAAAAAAGCAAAATCATTGTTGCGTATCGTTTATTATATCTTAATTGTGATTGTTTTATAAAAACCACGGCCCTTTTTTGTCCGTTTTTCAAGAATACATAAAACCTCCGTCCATTTTATTATTTAACGGGAAAGGATTAATCGGATGTTTAATCCATAAAACTCTATAGGAGATAATTAAAGGGTTTACTTCAAACCCATGAAGCAATGTTCTTTTTGCAATCATCCTGAAGAATATTATTCTCCTATATTATTATGTGCCAATAGTCATAAAGCGAATGATCTCATAACTCTCCACAGTTGTAAACTCTACCATGTACCATGACTGCTGCAAAATGCATTTTAGCTTCTAAATCCATTGCCGTATGATCCAGTAATTACGCTTAATATTTCTAGATTCCCATTAAGAATGTTAAATTGGCAAGACTAGGGTTATAGGCCATAAAACTGTACGTGAGCATAAAAGTTCTTGTAGAAGCACAGGAATTATTATATCGTGATATGAAGTTATATTTTTTAGATTTCCTCTTAGTTAATTAGATCCTGTTTTAATAGTGCAAAATGATTGCATGTTTCCCCTTGCCCGGAAAGATGTTTTAACTCAGTATTACCCTCATTGAGGTGCGTTTACTAAGTATAACATTATTGCTGTACATCCTGCAGCAACTTAGTTTTCTTGAACTAACTACGCATACTTATAATATTTAGTTATATGCCATTGCCATAAAAACGCTATTACAGTTTCATAAAATTTAAATGAGAAGTAATTATAACAAGATTTAATATCTACTACTTACAAGCGCATGCTAAGTGAGGTATTATAGGTATTATTATGTCCTTACCGCCCTTACATCGTGTTCCTCATTAATTGCTTGATTGATGTCATCCGTCTGAGGATAATGTTTTATCTAGCAATACATATTTATAATATCTATAAACATATAAAAATGTCGACGACTGGATGTCTATTCATACTGGCTCCGAGAAAAAGCTTTAAACATGAAAATTATAGAACATTCTTGTATGATGTACGAGCCCAATTATGAAGGCGCGACTATAAATTTCTAAGCTGTAATTCATAATCACCAACTCCAAAAGAGGTGACGGGATCTTAAACTTTATATTAAATACACTACAACAAAGTTGCAGCCATTTATCATACTTTAATGGTTTCCATTTTCCAACGTTAACTTACCAAAGACAACTTTAACTTCTTCCTTGTTCACAGGAAACACCAACTCGATATACAGCACGAAAAAAATAATGTAAAAGATGAACTGTATAAGATTTATTAAGAGAGAGTACCTAAAGTCAAAGCAATCAGCACAAATTATGTTGTTTGGCTCTTACAGACCTCTGAGTAACCTTTGAATTGAATGTGTAAATGAAATGTTGTGTCCATTGTTGCAGACGCTGCGAGCGGCGCTGCCGAGGCGCCCCCCTCCCCACGCCTGCTGATGACACAATAATCTGTGATGCTGGCAAGAGCAGGACCCTACAGGAAACTGCGTCCCCGAGGACGGCGAAGGACGTTGTCGCCAACGATCAATTAGCTATAAGTGCAAGTGCCTAATTCGTTACAATGGTGGGTAACCGTCGAAACTTCATATTTAGAGTGAGCATTGTGATCAATATCGCCGTGCTGCTGTACGCGGCGATGCATCTGTCCGGCAGCACCGGCCCAGGAGTGGAGTGGGTGCCGGTCACCGTGGACGGCTCCGAACGCAGCGCGGAGCTCCGGTACTTGAACACAGTGGAGTTCCGGAACGTGACTGAAACGAGGCTGCCCGATTCCAGCATGAAGAACTACGAGGAATCCACGTCTCAGAAAACGCCGTCCACTATGCCGTCAACAAACAAAACCGCTTCGAGCACCACATCCATCGCTGAACTAGAGAAGAAGTTACACGACACATCATCAGAAGCGGAAATGGTGAACGAAACGTTGGATATAGTCGACGAGAACGCGTTGTCGGACGCGACCCTCGCGCGGCTGCGGTTCCTCCTGGCGTGCAACGAGAGAGACTTTCTTCCTCAGTATCTGCAACGTGGTGAATATTGGGTGTTAAAGAATTACGTGCGCGCGGACCACGGAACAGTGTTGTGCCATGAAACCATCACCTACACGACTCACGCTGGCTTCGAGTTCCTGGACAACGTGCCACCTCTAGTCGAAAGGTAATTGATTAAACAGTCTACAGATTAACTATACGTTTTTGTTTGCAAAATCGCACCTACAGTTTAAAGCTTGATGTGCTGTCGTTTGTAGTTATTTGCAATACAAATATCACAAATATGAATAGGAAACTGATACCTAATTGACATTTATACTGATAGTTATATTATTTTATTGAATGTTCATAACATTAAAATACAAAGTCGATACGGCATCTTAGCAATATAGAAACACTAATTTAGTGAACTTACGAAATAAGTAATTAATTTATTGGTGTGTTAGTGAAAACCAGTATTCAACTTTAACAATACTAAATTCATGATAAATAAGTAAGTTAGTAGATGATAGATACCTATCGATTCTTTTGTCGAATCACTTTATCAGTCGCTAGCTTAACGCTATCTTTACAGCTAGTCCTTAGATGAGTCATGGATACTATACGTGCGTAGTATAATAAGTTTAGCCTTGCTACGGGAATCACCGAAACTTTTCTTATCGCATGCATAAACCAAATTACATGTATTTATCGTGTCCAACTTATCTTTGATAAGATCATATGGTTGTTATGTGTGACGTAACCGTTTATAATGGTCCTTGGTTTTTTGCACGATCGATGAGTAACAGGAACAAATCAATCGGTCTTCTGGAGGTCACGGTTAAGTATAAACAAAACACGCACGATTTCGCATAAAACAAAATACGATTTCGCATAAAACAAAATACGATTTACGCGATTCCGTATTCATGAATGAACAACTTTCATTCGGTATCTTGACAGACTACTTCCATTTTTATCGAGTCGATTGATGATTTCACTGCGTCTCTGTCGTAAGATCGAGAGTAGAGAGTGTTTTATATCAACTGGCCACTTCATTTTAAAACTGGACTCCTTAAAACAGTCAGTTGTTTTTTTAGACCAGTTAATTTTAGACTAGCTAATACAATTATTGCGTGCTCTAACGAATCATACTAAATTATAATTTATCTAATAAAAAGAGACAACTTGAAAGAAAAAGAAATGTCGGCTAAGCATCGAACCCCGCTGTGAAAGTTTCATAATAAGAAGCACCAAAGAGTTAAGTAATCCGTAACAATTGCTCATATCTGATCGTCGATCATTTTAGATTCGTTGTGTAATTTTGTGATCCAAATATTGTTTGTTAATATTATTGGACGATTATGACATATTGGTTAATATTGCTTGCGTAATACGGATGGGTAATGTCAAAAGGTGGAAACGAGTTGCATCAACACATTTCAATTGGCACTACCTTATTTAGGAGTTATATTTTATAGGTGTCCTATTACCTACGACCGTGCGGTTGGTTAGCATCAATATATCGCCTCTACATTATTTAATAGCTTCAACCTTGACGTGGCGGGTATGTAAAAAACTTGGAAATTAATGTCCATTAATATTCTCGTGAAATATGTTAGTATAAAACCACTAAGTAACTGGTTATGGCATAAGATACTGTAATTCCTTTACTCTAACTTTCATTGTTTAAAGGTTGACGCTAGATCTTTCATAATAGACGAGTCTGCTAGCATTTAAAAATATATTATAACTTACAAGGAAGTTGTAAGATCACGAGTGTGACAAAAACATAATTATCATGTTCTAAGAATCGCTGCCATCAATAAATTATTTCAAACGCAATGAAATAGCACTGTCATATGTGTCAATGGAACTTAACAATATAATAATCGCACAATGCGTTTCACAGATCAGTCGTGACGTGATACTAAAGCCGTGGTTTCACAAAAGCGACGACTAAACTAAACACAACTTCCTTATTCAGCAGCCGTCACGACATTGACGCATTTTAAGGCATATTATGAAATTAATTTTTGTGTAAAGAACAAATTATGAAGACAGAAATACCATACTAGATTGATTACCATAAGTTAATGTTACAATATTTATTCAAACTGAATAAAGGAAGCACAGTAATTTACTAGCAATTATTTTGTTAGACATTAAAATTCTGGTACTAAATCTAATCGTTTTATAAAGCAAAAGTAATAAATACAAATAAAATATGATAATTTACATCGACACGCACGTAAGAAAACACAATAGAAATCAATTAGCCAATTAGGTACTACGAATATCCGTGAAAACGTAACGTAAGAGCCAAAACGCTACATCAGCATCAACCGCATCGCTGTTACCAAGCCCCGGCCCGCATGTTGCAAGTACACCATTGTAATGTGATCGACAGATTGCCCGCGTAATGACAGGCGTAAGAAGAAAAGCCACGCTCGGGACTGGCCGCGGCCGTATGTGTGCTAGGTCGATAGTCAGTGGGGCAGCATTAGAAAATGGAGGGCATAATGTTCGCCAGTACATTTGCCTGCATTTCTTGTCCTAGACCCCTGCACTTAATAGTTTATGACGTGGAGATTAGTACTGTCTCTGTTAATGGACACGTATCCCGTGTCCATGAACAGAGACAGTACTATAATCTCCACTATCTCTACACGATATAATCTCCATTGTCAACACGAGATGATAGAGAAGTGGAAATGCGACAACTTGACCACACATTTGTGAGCTTTTCAATAAGCTTTACTACATGGTTCATTTCATTTTAAAACTAGCTGACCCGGCGAACTTTGTTCCGCCTTAATGGCAATAAATAAGCAGACTTTTTTTTAAATTTCGAACGCGATAAAAAGTATCCTATGTCCTTCTCCTGGCTCTAAACTACCTCCCTGACAATTTTCAGCTAAATCGGTTCAGCCGTTCTTGAGTTATAAGTGGAGTAACTAACACGACTTTCTTTTATATATATAGATTTGTGATTTTCTGTAGTTACTTAGTGATGATGTTTCATTAGAATTTACCTAAGAGGCCAAAATAATTTTGCTTTACAAATATTTTAAGGTTTCAAATCATCCTACATAAGTACTTTGGAAAGAACTCACTAGACTATAATTACACAATAATTTCAATTGCGACCTTCATAGCAACATATTAGACGCTTGACAAACTTCCATCCACACCATCTGATAATGACGGTGTCCATTGTGTTCAAATTACAACACTGCAAGGCATGCTATATGCAACCCAATAAGAATGTAGGTACCACGAATAGGCCTTAGTTAAAATTATATAATTGTTTCATACAAGAGAGCTAATACAATTTTAGGATTATCATCGGATGCTCATTGTAACTCAGAAAACTGAAAATGGTCTGTAGTCTTTGTCTTTGGTGCTACAATCAATCGTAATCTACGTATCTGGCCGTCAACTGTCAAACAATATGTTTTTGGTGAAAATAACTACGGTTTTCAATGTTTTTACATTTTCTCATCAGTGTTTATAAAATTAGAAGCATCGAAAATTATGGATATTTTTGATCGAAAACCGATTTATAGATAAAAGATGGATTTGGATAGGGATTGATTAAAGCCGGCCTTATTAGCATAAAAATTAAGCTAGTACAGCCCCCCTAGACAAAACGCACTTTTTGATCGAATCGAAAATCGAATCCGTCAAAACTCCATACAAAAAAGGGGCTTTTCGACCACTTTCGACTGGTTTGTGATTATAATTTGCACTTTGTCTAGACCCACAGGTCTATACTCAAAGTAGGTAGTCTATGTCCACAAAACAACGAGACAAAAAAAACTATTCTTTTTTGAAGTTGGTTAACAAAAAATGAGGCAATTATTTATCGTTCTAGGTACCTATACTAATAACGGTTAAAAATAGATACGACTTGTGTAACGTGTGTAATGTGTATGGATGTAGGATACACTATAAATACTACGAGTACCATTGCCCCCGTGTATAAATAGCTCAGTATGACAAGATTGCAGCAACTTGACGAGTTTATTAATAGACGAGAGGAATGTGCCTTAAGTAATCGAATTGTGTAATACATATTATTATTCCAGAGGGCCTAGTGCGAGTTTACATCAAACGTGCTCACTAGTGAGCGCGTCAAAAAATTACATATATGTATGACGGATTGTACAGCGCCCCTAGCGGGAAACGTTCAAAAACTAAAATTTTCATACATTTTTTAAACGCGCTCACTAGTGAACGCGTTTGATGTACGTAAACTCACACTCAGCCCACAAAACTTTAATTTTATTAACCATGAAATTATAGAGTACCAGTATTTTAAATTAATTATGCACTAATTGGATTCGACTGGCCAATAAATATACGTTTTTTTCTGCATCCATATTTAATATCATTTATGTGGAAATAATAGGCAAGTTAATTAGGTATAACACGATGATACTACATCTACTTCAATATTAATTTAATCTTATTTAAAATACAGAAATAATTTGCAAATTAATTAACAGATATTGATTAAATATTTTTATACGGAGAATATTATGTACAGTTTTATTTAAAAAGAGTGTTGTTTCAAACCCTTATAAGATAAATGTGTCATTTTCCTTAAATAATCATTGTCATGTTAACTAATTTTGCGTGTGTAAGTAGGTGCGTAGCGTTGCGGTCTCAGATCATAGAATCTATGATCTGAGGTTGCGGTTATACATATACAATTTTAATGTCCCGATGCAAGGGCTAGAGGACAAACCACCTAATATTTTAACAAATATAGAGAGGCTCATACACATTTGACATGTTTTAAAAGTACTTTTCATAAAAATTAAAACTGAACGTTTGCAAGTACTGGTTAAAAATATTTTCTATTGTTTTAACTTTCTCGTGAAGTTCTATACCTAAATACATAAAGTGAAAATGTTAGGTACGATGCTTTGTTTTTTATAATTAAGTAAGTTCATCATATCAAATAGCTATCACTTTGGTCATTAGTCCCTATACCGACGTTTTATTAATTTAATTATTTATGTGTTTATAAGAAGTGCTTAACATTCTTTAATTTCACCTTCTAGTAATTTGAATTCTACCAATCTTTTAGTAACTATTAATTACAATCATATACGAGTAAACCTAGGAAAAACACAATTAAACCCGTTGGCCAATTACATAACAAATTACCTACCTAGT